GCTCCGCAACAGTTGAGTCTGCTAAACGCGACCAATGGCAGCAGTGGATGAGACTAGGTTTATTCGCGTCGCGATATCCAACATGCTCCAACATGCTCCTACCATAGCTCCTACTCACTCCAACGCGCTTGATAGAGTGAGTAGGAGCTATGGTAGGATGCATGTTGGATCTTGCGACGCGAACAAACCTCTACTATAAGAGTAAGAAATTGACCAGTCACAGTCCAATGTGAGAAGAATAATCGACTGTGATTGGTCAATTTCTTATTCTTACTTCTTAAACCAAGCTTACTACGTGTATTGTAGACGGGCCATCATTGCTTACTGCTTACTGCTTACTTCTACTTCTATGTGCGTTCACCTTCATACTTGCAAAATGCTCTTAATCAACTGATGGTCTTTATTCTTTTATTATGTAATCAAAAATACCGTATCTTTCTCTTCTGCACAAGATTTATTTCTGCGTCCAGGGCATCTCCTCGCAGTGCCGTCACTGCAGTACAATGACGGCACATGTAAGAATAATGCCCGGACTATAGATTACTGTGCTCACGCTATGTCACACATGAATAGTTTCGGAGAATGTTAATGACATTCTCAGAATTTAAGAGCTGAGGATTTAAAATCGTAAATCTCCTCAAACCTCTGCAGAGAACAGTTCTGGTGTTTCAAAGATATCGCTCTATTCGTCCGGTTGCTCATCATCAGAGCTATCAAAGCTGAGGAATGTCATTGACATTCTCAGATAATAATAAAAGTATTAAAAATTAAATACTCTCGAGAATATTTAATTTTTAATACTTTTATTATTATGTACAAAATGGAATATAATTGATAAATGTAAGTGAGAATACGAGTATATGAGAACTTTGCCAAAATGGGCAAAGTTCTTTCTTCTAAAATTTTGCATTTTCGGAACAACTCGCATAGGGAATTTGGCACATGAATGTGTGCGGCACACGAGCTCCAGACGCTCCAGTGCCTCCAGTGCTCCAGTAATAGAGACGGAACTGAACCGAACATCATGACATATCTTGATACGTGTTTCCACACGTTTACTGGCTCAACTGGCTGATAGCTGTCACTTTCACACTGATTGTGTTAAATTGCAACTTAATATATATTTGCAATCAAATATTGCTCTGTATACGACGCGACACTATTTTCAGTATATGTGTATATACATATAAATATATAACATGTCAGATCTTGTAGAGAATCAAGTTCAATTGCTGCTTGCCGGACAAGTATTAGAAAATGACATATGCAATGTACATACTCTCGCAAGTGACACAACAGGTATGTCCGACGCCTTCGCACTGCAATCGCTTTCGTAATGTTCTTATAAGATGCCGAACTCTTTTCTTTCTTTCGAAAAGAGAAAAATTTGATACGACTAAACGTACATTGCAGGTGCAAAATCAGGTCAACTAACAGGACACATTCCCATTTGCTTGAAAACAGTAACATACATAGTTGCCGCTGTTGTCATAAATGACCAAGGCGAAGTGTTAATGATGCAAGAAGCGAAAGCTTCTTGTACTGGAAAATGGTACTTACCAGCCGGTAGAGTGGAGAAGAATGAAAATCTTACAAGTGCTGTGAAGAGAGAAGTCTTGGAAGAGACAGGTCTGGTGATAGCACCAACAACTCTGATATTGGTAGAATGCGCGAATAGTACATGGTTTCGTTTTGTTTTTACCGGCGATATCGTCGGCGGTACTCTCAAGACACCCGATCAGGCAAATGAGGAATCGCTACAAGCATGCTGGGTACGAAACATAAATGACTTGCCATTAAGATCTAATGATATAATATATCTCTTAGACCGGGGTAAAAGTTACGTTTCAAATAAAACTGTTCCCCAACATCCTCATTTGATGCCTGTGACCAAATCACACACAAAATTATTGTTAAGATTAATAGTCACATCTAAGAAGAGGGCAACGTAAGTATTATACAATGTTTGTATTAATATCTAGAGAACTACAATTATATTGTTAAACTGTATATAGTATATTTATAATGTAATTATTCTTATATTAATATTAATATTAATTTTGTTAATAGGAACAGATTACATGTGCTATCTGATACTGAACAATATAATCCACCAATTTGTGAACTTAATCCAAATCGTAGTTTACTATCTACTCTGCATAGCTTTATGACCGTGAGTATATTAGGAAAGCATTATATACTTTATGAAATACATAAATATTAATAAACTATTATTAAGTATCAAATATATACAATATATTGTATATATTTTGCAATGAAAAATTGTTTTTAAAACTAAAAAAATCTAGTCTTGTTACAAAAACATTTTTTTGCATTAATAATAATAAATTGTATATAAATTATTCTTCATAAAATATATACATATTTACTATATATAATATGTATGTTTGAGAAAAACATTGAAAGATTTTGTTAGGAGTGTATATATTCAGGCAATTATTTTTTTTAGGAAATATTTGGAAACGATGTACCACAGCATAAACCACATGGTTTATTGTCTGTAGAATTTAGCGGTGGACAAGAAGGTGATGGTCTGTGCTTAACATTATTGGTATCCTTCAAGTTACCATTGGAAGACGTGCCTGTAATTGGAAAATATATTTGGCACGAGCTTTCTGAAAACGTAGCAGAATCTCTTGCAGCCCGTCTGCCACGGAACATGACTGTCCCTTTGAAGGTCGTACGTTAATTGTATACAAATGTTTTATTAAGCAATTATTTTGTTTGATGAAAATGAATAGTACAAGATACACAGGAGAATATAATATACAACAATTATTTTACTATAATATTAACATTGAAATTACCCTAGTCTACACCAATGACTTTATAACAGATATTAATACATGACAGATAACATTCTATATTTTTAACTAATATAAATAAGCTATATATAATGTTATTATATTTAGCTTATATATATATACTTTATGACAAAAGAAACTAAAAAATATCGATCAAATAATATAGTAACACACTGGAATCAAATTTTTCTTCTTAAAAGTCTAATCAATTCCCAGTATAAATTATAAATTGTAATGTATTAAGCAATATAATGATAGTATAATAGCATAAAAATTTCACACAGTATATTTATTATAATATATATATTTGAAATTCAAATTTAATAATTTCAATTATAGATTATTGTGTATATATGTATAATTGTAACTATAAAAAGAAATTATTAAAAGCTAAGTTTATAAGTTTGTTCAAAAATTTATTATTGAACATTACATAAAGATTATTTAAAACTGTTAAATAGATTTGAAATTTTATATTTGCATATATGCAGTTAAAAGTTATAGTCTGTTACATATCTTGTTTGTGCAAATTATACCACTCAATATCTGCTAAATACAATGTAAAAAATTGAAAGTAAAAATAATTTATTGAAATAAAGTTCAGTAATAATAAGAATTAAATATAAAAGTAGGGCTAATAAAGATTTTAACGAGCAATTTATCACTTATAAGATATCATTTCAAATTGCACGTATGAGCTCAAAATAAGATACAAATTATATTTTTATTATTTTTATACATGTTATGTTTTATATACTCAAAATATATAATAATAATAAAAATAACTTATTTAATTTAAGGGTTATTTAAGTCTGATATTATTGATTATAACATACTTGTATAAACCCAAATAATTAAACAAGAAATATAGAACATGTTATTTATATAAATAAATGGTAGTCATTTTTTAAATAAAAGTATTGTTTCTATTCCTCACATATCCTATTTTAGTAACTCAAAAACATCACAGATCATTATAATCATGTACCACTTGATCTTAAATAAATCTACATAAAACATGCAAGTTTATAAATTTTATATACATATAATAATGTTATATTTAGGAAGACCATCATATAATTACACAAAGGTACATGAAAATAAAAGCTATTTGCTGCCTTTGTCAGTAAAAAATTGCTCGTTTGCAAGTAGAGCATTGAATGAAAAAATACTAAGACTTTTAAAAAATCCTTAATATGCAGGATATTGTATGTAATTTATTACACATCAATATCATCAGTCAAATCAGAAAACTTTTTGATAACAGATTAAAAAGATCTCTTAAACTGAAAAAATTAATTTTACATTTTGAAAAAGTCATATATATATATATATGTCATAACAGATACATACTTTTGTATCATTAAGGCATCAAGAATTTAAGTTTTCAATTTTTTATCTAGTTATTGACAGTATTAATTTGTAACAAATTATATAACTTATCCTGCATAATAATAATAATGTATACCTTCAACTAGAAGTAGATGTTAATCTTCCCATCGTATTTAATACAGTATCTTCTGTACTTTCATTCTTTATAGGAACCACATTACTAGTATTATGCATTAATTTAATGTCATCATTGAGCGTTAAAGATACATTATTTAAATAGTTTGAAGAAGCAGTAATATTAACATCTGCAGTACTAGTATGCAGTACATGCTTTTGATTGTTTTCACAATCGATTGGATTTGTGTCTGTATTTACAGGATGTTTCTTCATATGAGTTGTTAAATTACCACTGTGATGGAACTTTTTCCCACAAATTTTACATTGAAATGGAATAATTCCGGAATGTATCCTCTCATGTATCGACAAGTTACCACTGTGCCTAAATTCTTTACCACACACATTACATTTGTAGGGCTTTACACCCGAATGAGTTCTTAAGTGAGTGGAGAGATTTCCACTATGGCTAAACATTTTTCCACATATCTGACAACCGTATGGACGTTCACCAGAATGCGTTCTCATATGTATAGCCAAGTTTCCACTGTGTGTAAAACACTTTTCACATTGGCTGCATTTATATGGCCTATCTCCATTATGCGTTCTCATATGAATAAATAAATTGCTTTTGTGTCCAAATTCCTTGAAGCAAATTTCACATTGACATTTTAACTTTTTTCCTGTACTAGATTCTGCGGAACTTTTGGATGGTCTCCCAAGACGATTGTTTCTTACAGCACTCAGCGATTGTGCTGTTAATGTTTGACTAATATTTCCTACATTCTGCAAATCCTGTACAGGCTGTGACTGTTTGTTTTCTTGAACTATGACGACATTACTTGTACTCAGAGGATCACACTGATTATTTGCCTGTATTTGATTGTTGCCATCCTCTTGATCAACTGAAAGGAATATGCTGTTTTGCATATATGATAAACTATCAGCTTCCTAGAACAAAAATGTATAAAACTTAATATGAAAAAACTGAGTAAGATTACTTGCTAAGTTGTTAAATGCAAGTTGTTCACAATACTGTAAATATTTACTTCTGCTCGAAACATAGCCTGTTGATCATGAATTTCATTTTTCGCAGGCACCTCGTTTGTTAACTGCGTTTGTTCCCAAAACTGAGACAACTGACGGTGCTTATACCCAATATCTTGATTGATAAAAGGATACAAGGAACTATCTGAGCTATTAATTCTATTACTTGCGTTTACATCCTCTATGGTTGTACATTCGTGCTTTATTTGTATAGGACTAAACATCTGTAAAATATAAAAAACGAACAGAACGTTATACATTCATATCAGTGCACTACAGTGAAATGCCATAAAGTATCTCCATTTGCCCCTATGTAATTACAATTGATATTCAAAGCATTAAAGTCTCTTAATCGCCATACACTAACACTTTCATTTGAAGAATTGTCATTAAGGGTCTCGACCTGGAAAATATCAGTTGCTAAATCTCGTAGTTCTAGCAGAGAGAAACCTGAGAGTGGACATCCCGGCCTTTTTCGTGTACCAAACTTCGTAGGGTAATGTCCACGTTTTTGTGGTTCTTTTCCAGACTATTACGTGGATTAGACAAGGATAAACAATTAAAGTTGATTATTCGTCTTTGTCTAATCCACGTAATAGTACGGAAAAGACCCACAAAAACGTGGACATTACCCTACGAAGTTTGATACACGAAAAAGTCCGAGATGTCTCTCAGGTTTCTGTTTTAGTGAATTTAATTTGCGTGTCATAATTGTTACACACTTCCTACTCAATAAACGCGATAGTATATACATACAACAAGACTTTTTGTAAGCTCACATTGCTAACCATCTTTAATAAGAATCTTTAATTTAATCCCTTTGTCCCAAAGCCATTTCTTTATTAGATATCTAAACGCCACCTACACGATTCAAACGGAAGGAGTAATGCTGGAGTCCCATGGACTCCAGCATAAAGCCCCAAACACGATGAACACACTGGCTCTGTTCAGCAGAGAAAACTAATGGCGAATTCAATTGGAAGCACTAATGCGCATGTTGGAGCTTCCGACGCGACAAACCTTAGGTGTGTACCATGGCCTTTAAGATTATAAATCAGCCTTTCTGCTACTTTCTTCGCTGCATGAAATTGCACCTTATATCTTAAATTGCACCTAGTTCAACCATAGAAAACAGACCTATAAATAGACATAAACAGACATAAATCCATTTCAACAAGTATTTAACTTACAAAAAGGAGAGGCGGAAGAAATTGGTTTACATTTAATTAAATGCTAAAAGTGACGTGTTCTTGTATCGTGTTGCGTCCTCTTCGTGTCACTTCGTGTTTTTGTTTAGAGTGACATAATCGATATGTGAGAAAAATAGCATTTGAAAAAAAAAAAGGTTATATTTAATATAAAATATTAATATTTGTATCTCAAAAAGATATACAAAAATTGTCTGCGACGTGTGTTTGTTATGCTACGTGGAATACATCGTTGATTTGTTCAGCAATCTATTATTATGTCACAAAAATTATTGAGATAAGGAAATTTGTATCTCTCGTATGAATTGGTATGAATGTTTAAAATATGCCTGGAGGCAGACGAAACGCTGTCAGTCGGACTGGATCAACTGCCAGATCCGGTAATGGTAACGTTAGTTCAGCCAATACTAATGGAAGAAGCAATAGCGGAGAAAGAGCAAGTGCCAATGGTGCGGACGACAAAAGACTTGACGAAATTTATGGTGGAAGGTCTCTGGCACCAAAGCACATTCCTATACCTGCAGTACCAGTCGACGGGCAGTTGGGCTTTGAGGCATTATCTTTAATCGTCTCGATTATTGCAGCTTGTCTGCAATTGCTTAATCTATATAGAACGGTATGGTGGCTACCAAATTCCTATAATGGTTATACTATGGTACGTTACATTTGTGTTTATTACACATATGAAAACTAGATTATGCTATATGGATGATACAAAGAGGATAGTTGTAATATATTTAGGAAACGGAAGAATTATGCTCCTACTTGTATTCTCTGGTATGTTTCAGAATTTTTATTTGATAGATCCTTACCTACTTGTATTTATTTTTACTATGGTGGCACATAGATTCCTGTACATATTATTACGTCAGATCATTGATGTTTCATTACCAGTTCAATCAGTACCTGCAAAATTGGCAATCCGAAATATTATAAGGTATTATTGTATGTGATTTATTAATAACTTGTCAGATTTATAGTAATATCAGGATATTTTAGTATTTATGTAACTTAATTTCAGGTCATCTTTATCAGTTGCTGTAAAGAGCGTATTGGGCTGGTGCCTGTATCATATGATTGAGAAGCACAATTCTATGAAAATTTTTTATTTATGTTATCCGTGAGTATCTATAAGAATGAATACGTTTGAATATATTAAATAATATACCATTGTTGTATCACTGCATTGATAGAAAAGTGACAATCTCAAAATTGGACCTTCTCAGCAATTTTTTAAATTCTAAATTGGAATATTTTAATTGGGATAATGAACATGCAATTTTTATAACTTTACTTCTTCCTACATGTTATTATTTCAATTATAATATATTCTTTAAAATTTATATATGAATTGTTTAAATCAATAAATTGATCAAACATTGTATTTTTAAATTCAAATACTCTAGTATAGTAGTATACACTTTCATTTCTTGTCACCGAGTTGTGACACTTTCATATAAGTAAATAAACCTATGTTTCACAAATCTATGTTTCCATAAAAATATATTAGTCTTTAAGATCAATTTTCTTTTATTATCTCAAAAATGCTAATTTTTGCCTAGTATCCTTTTTTTATCGATACAGCGATATATATACATTTATATTGTGTAATTCAAAATTAAAAATAAGTATAAATAGCTTATGATATCCATTTGTTCCAGAAGTTTATCAGTATATTTTGTTATGTTTGGAATACGAACAGCACCATTTTTTGATACGTCGTTCTCGAGTGGGAAAGAAGAACGAAAAACAAAATACGTATTAGGTATGTATCATCAAATGTGTGTATTAATAGCATCTTGTCTATTTATTAATTTTTAATTTTTTAAGTGTTCTAGTATTGTAACATGACTTTTTTCATATACAGATAAACCTTTGCACAATTGCTCACTAAACGCATCAGCCATTAGAACAGAAGTATCCACTTTGAGATCCGATTTTAACAGACGATTAAAGCGAGCTTTATTTTCGTCTTCAGGTAGCGCGTATGTTTGTGTAGTTGCGCCTATTATTTTTGTACCTCCACATTTACATTTTAATGTATTGTGGGTAGTACAGCATGTAATCTTGTTCTGGCTCGGAAGGATATGTGCGTACTTCGCTCAAGCTTATCCTTTCAGGTAAGTATATTCCTTCGTAGTAAGAATTGTTTTGTCAAACATAATAGTTAAAAATGTGAAATTTTTAAATTATCGGGCAAGTGAGAGTAGTTCCGCAGTAATTATTGTGTAATCTTTTTTTGTAAGCTCGTGTATTTCTTTAATTGTTTACATGTATTTTCGAATGTTTTAGCTCAATTCGAGCGATGTACAACGATGATATCATGTGCTTCATACAGCCTTTGTTTTCATTGTTGTGTGCAACTGGTGTAGTCTTAAATTACCAGGTTTAAGATTGCTGACCCTGTGTAATACAATTTTAATGTGTGATTTATGTCATCAAATCTAATTTTGTGAAAAGACACCCGTTGCAAACACCAATGTAGATACAATTGTCTTTGTTTCGTTATCTATAGCTTAGCAACATTCTCTATTACCACGTCTAAATATGTATTGACAAAATAATAGTTAAATAATAGTTAAAGTATGTAATTGACTTTTAGATATTGTGATGAGCTACATAGAGCAGCGATGCACTTGGGCCGATGGATTAAAATAGAAAATCGTAATAATCACATATATGCCGAACCGTGGAATGAAACGGTATTGTGGCCTCACGGGTCGATTGTAAGACACAATCGAGAAATTTATCGTTCTGAAGGTTTGTGCACAGCAGCGGAACCGGGTAATCTAAGTCACTCTAGATTTTATGTATGTAATCTTATTCTATCAACGAGTAACAAAAAATATTAGACTCGATATTAATTATATATTGTTGTCTTACAGGGTTTATTTAATAACCGAGTAACGCTTCTGAGTCCAATACTGGCATTGCAATTATTATTGGTGAACATTCAATTGTTTATTTTATTAGGCGTGACCGAATGGTATCAAATACTATCGACGATATTATTATTAGTTATACATTATTATACTTTGTTCAAAATGGCTAGGGATTTTTTAGTATCTTGGAAAGTGTACCGTGCTGAACAAATAATTCAAGAAAAGTCTCAAATGGTTGTGAACCCAGTTGCTCAATAAAATACAAGTCATTTCTGCAACATTTTTTATATTATTTTTTATATTTTCCTGCGAAATAAAATGAAAAAAAAAAAATTAATTATTCACACAAGGAAATTTGTTTTATATAATTTACACAAGTATTTAAAACACCATACATGTTTTATAGACTTTTATTGAATAAAATAACATAATATATTAAATGCACATTTATTTTAAAGACAATTAAGAATTGAGAATTGAATAACGCAATATTCGAAAATATTTGTAAAAAATGTAAATATTAGGAAAAACATTGCTTTTAACATAGAAATCCTTTTAAGATATCCTTTTTATATTGTGTATATATATTTTTTTCTCTGTCAACTAATTAGCTTAGAAAATCTCAATTTCTATAAATGCTCTAAACGATAATTGTTATTAGAAGTATTATAGATAATCAAGCATGGTATTTAAAGACAAAACATATAGTAGCCCTTATGCATTTATAATTTAATAAGCTTGGAAAAATACGCACATACAAATGCATAATTAATTTTGGAAAAGAGTGCGCGTAAATTCTATATAATCCAACGCAGCTGTTATCGGTCGTTCCGATTTGGGATCTACATAAGGTTTCATACGAGCAACGCAATAATCAGCCATCTCCTTCGTGAGATTCTAAAAAAAAAAAGATTAACGAATATAAATTGTATTTTGATTACAAAAACATTGTAACATATCTTTAACGGCATAGCTGGATCTTAAGTGCTGTATAATTCTGTGTGAATTTATATAATATCCTTTAAACTGCGCGCCGAAATGATTTTTCGGTCTTGAAACGCAAACTCTACTAAATTACTGCAGTAATTTCACGAGTTAAATTAACTAGCAATTTAACTCGTGATGATATTACTGCGATAGCTTAGTAGAGTTTGCATTGCAAGACCGAAACATCATTTCGGTGTGCAGTTTAAAAGACTACATATGTAGTATATAAATTCACAGAATTATACAAGCACTTAAAGATCCAACTAGACCGTTAAAAGGCATTTATTTTTATTGGTTGTGTTCTCACATGTACGGTCAGATGAGATTTAATATTTAATATATTTTTTAATATTTTACAGTATTTGCAATACTTACAGCATATAATTCCTCCTTTGTGACATATGGCCGATCTGCTGCTGTGATTGCTCGGAAAGCGTTCTCTATTTCCTCCGAACTCTGCACGTTCTCCGTTTCCTTGCTGATCATAAACGCCATGTATTCTTGCAGCGATACGTAGCCGTCCCTATTAGGATCCACAATGTCTGTAAATAATAACACGGTGTTAAAATAGGTGTTCAGAATAATGTACCACACTAATGGCGAATTCAATTGGAAGCACTAGTGCGCACTGGTGCATATTAAAACCGTTGTATACTGATTTAATTTGAACATAAAAATGAAATGCAAATATTCCGAATTATGAAATACATATTTTACCTAATAGTACAATAAAATGTATTGACTATTTCACGATTTA